GAGCCTCTGGCAGCTTGCCCCCAGGGAGCCCCGAGGCCAACTCCTAGGATTTTTGAGTCGAAGATACAAAGGCTGTGAGGCCAATTATAGAGATCCTGGCAGCATATGGAAGAGCTGGAGCTGCCTCAGAAGTTGTCGACACTGAAGCACAGCCCCTCCTGGCACCCTGACTGCTGGTGCTGGGTTGGGTGTCTCCACACACCATGTGACTGATGCCACGTGGAGTAAGTGGTTGCCCTGATACCACAATGGGGTCTAACAGGGAACCCCAGCCACCCAGGGATCTTGGAAGTGATGACAAACTGGCAAGAAGGCAAAGATTTCAGAGTGTCACCAGAGCCAGAGGTGATATGTGCTGAAGAGGCTCCACCATCTAACAGGCTACCAGACAATGAGAAGCGACACGCCCTGTGCTGATGGGTCCTGTAACACTGTGGGGGAACAGCCATGGTGCAAGGCTGCTGTGTGGAGTCTCACACAACGGGTCACTGAAGCTACTGAAGGGGAAGGTGAATTGAGTCAGTTTGCAGAGGTGAAAGCCATAAAAACAGTACTCTGATACCTGAATTTTGGAAACCAGTTTCATGAAAGTCAAGCTTTATTATTATTTATTTTTATTACATACTATAGTACAAGCCTAGCAGGTCCTCTATACTACTGACACCAGGACAAGAGTGCAGTAAAATCCTTTTAGAGTTATCTTTTTCTTCCAAGATTGGTGTCAAGTCCACATTCCCTTATTTACCACAAATGCTCTTTTACAGGAGAGGGTTTTTTCCATAAAACCTTTTCAGCTTTTACCATTTTCAGCAACTGGGTTTCCACCAGCATCTGTGCTGCCCACGCAAGGAAAATGAAGACTGCTCAGTGATGTGTGGCAGTGCCAGGTGATGACAGTGACCAAGGGCCAGCAGGGACACAGTGACAGCCTGAGTTGAGCATGAGCCCACACATCTAGCAGCAATGACACTGCAGGGCCTTCCTCAGTGTTGGGTAAACTCACATAGTAGTATTTAGCGTAGACAGTCTTCAGTCTTTGCCTTACGGGTAGTTTGGTTTGTTATTTTATGACTGAAGTTTGATGTAGTATTGTGTGCATGCCAACATGTGTTTGCTACCCCATGTGTGATCCAAATGGTGCGACCTGATAGAGCAATTCCTCTTATTTCGCTTGCTCCTTCTGTTGAAGACACAAAAAAAGCCTGTGCTTTTAGAGTAGCTAACAATCTCCATGTGCTGCACAGCAGATGGTACAGTAATGCTGGAGGTGTATTTCACAATAACTTTTTTCCACATAGAAATTGAGGTATTGAGAAGTCTTTTTCTGATGCTTGAGAAAGAATCAGAGGCAGAGAGAATCTATAGATAGTGTGCAGGAGTTCAAGAAACAGCACTGCCTGAAGTTTTAAGGGCTGAGTGCGTCCTGCCAAACTTCAGCTATTCAGCTTTGATCAGTCTGGATTCTTCTAAGGTCATTAAGCATGAGGCATTTCCAGAAGTCAACTTGAACTGCTCCCTATTGGATTGTCCTTCCAGAAGTGCCTACCTCTTTCCAAGGGCTGTAGGGAACCCATGGTTTAACACTTATTTTGTCACCTTGGTTAGATGCCTAGAGCTAAGTGGGATCTGATTAACACTCAGAGAAAGGTCTGAGCGTTGTCCCACAGCTGATGAGTGCAGAGCCACAGTCCTGCAAGGCTCCTCAGCATCAGTGCAAACTGCAGCTGATGGGAACAGGTGCTAAAGTCTTCAGGAACAGTGGTTTAGCCCCGGTCAGCAACTAAGCCCCACAAAGCTGCCCACTTACTCCCCTACAGCAGGGAGGGGGAGAGATGCAGAAAAGTAAAAGTGCTCTCAAAGGATGAAGCATTTTTGTATAAATCTTGCCTCAGATAATTCTGAATGAAAATACATTTGTAAATGCCAACATTTCCCAATGGGTTCCTCACCTAGAGGCAGGGGAGCCAGCTCTGCTTGTAAGTTCTTCCTCGTGAACAGCTATGCTAATAATAGCCACTGAAATTAGATCAAACCACAGGACAGTGGCAATAACAGCTCAGATTTTTCAGAAGAGCCGAATGACTTGTGCACTACACCTTTTGCAAAGGCTGGCTATGAATAGCACAGGAGGAGCTCTTTAATGCTTCTCCCTTCTGAAAATTTGGGCTTGACAATAAATACTAAACCCCAGGGACAGATGACCCTCAACTCTCTTGAAACATTAGCATTGACTATCCCAGACCTGAACGCTGAACTTTACAGCAGGACATCTAACCTGAGCTGCAGTCCAGAAGTGAGATCTCACAAGTGACTCCAGCCAGGAGTTATGAACAGATAGTAGCGTTTAACATGTATTTATCATTGCATTATTGGTTGGTTTTTTCCTACCCCAGAGATAGTGCTTAGGAGGAGCAATGTAAGCTCATATTGGCTCCAACAGGGTTATGCATTTGCATATGTCAAATATTGGTGCTATTTTGACCCCAATAGCTGGCAAGTAAAAGAAGATGGCCCCAAACAGAATTAAGTCAGCACTCTCCATATATGTAGTCTTCTTGGGCTGCCATTACCCCATCTTGTCCTTGCTGTGCCTATGCTTCTTTGCCTGCCTGTGGGCTCTATTTACTTTTTCACAAGCTGACCCATGCTTTCATCACCATATACCCTGTGTCAAATCAGTACCCAGTGCGATCCAAAGCATTCAGATGCTGGAATGGGCTCTCCTCACCTCTTGTTTTCGGGCAGTGGCCATGCTTGGGCGCTTGGCTTTCAGGACTGCTGCTATCCTAGCTCTGTGTCTCCTCGTGTCTCTTGAATGAACTGTGGATGTAGTGCCATCACTTTGTACATGCCGTATCTGTTCTCATTTAGAGAAATGTTAGGACCTCATCCCCATCACCTCTGCTCATCCCTATGTCTAACCAGGGTGAAAGATCAGCCCAGAGAGGGACTCGCCCGCCTGATGGCAAATGCTCTTTTCTCATTACCTCATTCCAATGCAAGGGACATTTTCAGTACCAATCACTCTCCACCAGCTGGCTGACAGTGAAGCAAGGGCGAGGAAAATGAAGCCGGGAGTCGTGCGCTGCCCTGCTCTGCCTGCCCCCAGCAAGACATGCTGTCCAAGGAAGCGTGCCAAAAGCACCGTGTCTATTTTAACAGCACCTCTGAACAGCAGCAAGGGCAGCAGAGGGAGGATGTGCTGCAGTCATAAAAATTCCACCCAGATAAATCAATAGAGGGAGGAGAAGAATGAGAGGGAGAAAATGGCAAAGTCAGTCAGACATTGTTCATCTGCCCACAGGAGAGGGGGAAACAATGTCTCATGGTCGCGAGGGTTTAAAAGGAGTGAAAGGGAACAAAGTCCAAGTCAGAGAGGACCTGTCAGGAGCAGGTGACAGCCTTTAGTATGGGTTGGTGGTACAGTATCTGGGAGTCTGGTTCAGACAGCCCCTGAGTGCCAGACATGGTCCTGCATGGCACTAATTAGCACCTTCTCAGGCAGTCTGAAAAAGAGGATGAGGAACAAATTGGCTTGCAGCAGCAAGCAGCAGAACAGTGGGCTAATGGTGTGGACTACTGACAGTCCAGTCCAGACAGGAGCTACCTCCTAGAAATGCTAGTTATGGATGGACTAGGACACTCTCTCTCACACCAGAACCAAAGAGCCTCTTTATGGTGGAAACTCTGTTTTCTGTCTGCAAAAGCCTCAAGATTTTGAACTGGTTGCACCAAGAGCTGGGTCCATAGCAGCCCCTCCCCCCAGCTTCCTTTTCTAATCTTCAGCAAGAGGTATTTGCCCAGAAACCTGTAGCACCCCAGTTTTTCGTATAAAACATATACAGTGTAAGTCCTACAGCAAGGGATGGACTCTCACTAGGTTCACGCACCACAATACCTTTGCTATATGTGCAAATTACATGTACGGAGCACTGCTGGGCTTTGTCCAACAAACAACACAAAGAGCTCTCTGTTTGCCTTCTCTGCTTCTCCTTGCCTGGGTTTGAAAGATGTTGCTGAACTTAAGACTAGATTCAGCCAATGTCCACACTGTCCCTTCATGCCTGTCCTTAAAAGGAGTGCTTGGCTTCAGTCATCTGCCAAGAGGAAGCCCAAGCCCTTGTTTGCATGGTCTTGCTTTTCCAGGCATGGGTCAGGCCATACACACTTACGGCTCTGCCCATCAGTCAACACACAGTCTTTGGCTTCAGTAGGGTCCTACTAAAGATGGTCCTAAGACCTGCAAAGATGATGAGGGGACTGGAACATCTCTCTTATGAGGAAAAGTTGAGAGACATGAGTTTGTTTAGCTTGGAGAAGACTGAGAGGAGACCTTATCAATATTTATAAATATCAAAAGGGTGGGGGTCAAGAGCATGGGGCCAGACTCTTTTCAGTGGTATCCAGTAACAGGAAAAGGGGCAAAGGGCACAAATCAGAACACAGGAAGTTCTACCTTAACATAAGTTTTTTGCATCTTGAGCACTGTGTCCAGTTCTGGGCACCACAGGATAAGAAGGACATGGAGGTGCTGGAGCGGGGCCAGAGAAGGGCAGCGAGGCTGGTGAGAGGGCTGGAAAACATGCCTTATGGGGACCAGCTGGGGGAACTGGGGTTGTTTAGTCTGGAGAAGAGGAGACTGAGAGGAGACCTTATTGCTCTCTACAGCTACCTAAAAGGAGGTTGTAGTGGGGCTGGGGTTGGTCTATTCTCCCAAATTACTGATGATAGGA